TCATCATCATCCACATCATCATCATCATCATCCACATCATCATCATCATCCACATCATCATCATCCACATCATCATCATCATCATCATCATCATCATCATCATCATCATCATCATCATCATCATCATCATCATCATCATCATCATCATCATCATCAATCATCAATCACCAATCATCAATCATCATCATCATCATCATCATCATCATCATCATCATCATCATCATCATCATCATCATCATCATCATCATCATCATCATCATCATCATCCTCATCATCATCATCATCATCATCATCCACATCATCATCATCATCATCATCATCATCATCATCATCATCATCATCATCATCATCCACATCATCATCATCATCATCATCATCACCATCATCATCATCATCATCAATTTATTCCAACTTTCCGAGCTATAAAGCCTCCATTTCGAAAGGGGCGTTTTCACCCTGCCGTGGTGCCGTTCGACTCGTTCGCAGGTGCTGAGGGACGCGGTGAAGGCGAATCGCCTTTTGGTGTCCTCTGCGAAGGATGGCTATTGGAAGGGCGTCTTCCAGGCGGACGTTGACGGATGGACATCGGTGGGGATTTACCCTCTGGTTATGTCAAAATAGCTATGGAAAATCACCATTTTTAATGGGAAAATCCACTATAAATGGTGATTTTCCATAGTTATGTTAAATTACCAGAGGGTAACCATGGTTTAACCTGCCATGAAAATCCATGAAACATGGTGGAAGATGGAGGTTGAAGATGGTAAACATGATCTTTTTCATGATTTAGATTGATTTAGTGCATCCATGTTTTTCGGGATTTGGTTGGGATGTTTGGAACTGGTTGTTCAACCATATCAAAGGGACGATTGGTTGAAATGAGTCCTATCTTTGGGATGGGTTAAAGCCACCAACACGGGTAAAAACAATGTGAACAACACAGCTGGATGAGATAGATATTGAGTATTGCTGATTGGTTCAAGGTTGGATCTTGGTGGTTGTAGATGTCTTTTTGTCTCCATTTTCGTATGCCCGTGATTGTTTCTTGTGCCTAGTGCTCATGGTTGCATCTCCGTTCTAGTTGGCCACATCTTTAATGGTGGTCGATCGCATCCCAATCTTGCAGGGTTGCACACCCACAATTTTGGTTGGTCATTCAGCATTCTCAAAGCACCTTTTCTTTAACCACTGCTTTGGGATCATTGCTTGATGGATTTAACTGTGCAGCAATTAGCAATTGACCAAACCATCTACCTTTTGCAATAGCTAAGATCGTCCGACTGCGTTCCTGATGAAAAAAGGGTTATTGTGGCAAACCTGATGCCAACCATCCCCAACAGTATCGGTTTACTATCGGGTTTTTGTTTAAAAAAATGGGATGATGTTTACTATGACCCCCCAGTCATGGTTGGTTAATGGGATGGTTTTTATGGGCTTTGCCAAGTAAAAACGTGACCAATTGTGATATTTCCTATACTTTTTTTAGCCAACAAGTGGTGAATGGATGGCCCTATATAGGGTCTGCCGCAATGCCCCCAAAAAAAAAGCGATCCAAGATTTCCCGTTTTCGAGGGACCGCATCCTACTACATCTTGGCGTTTGAACCGGAAAGTTGAGTCCCCTTTGGTTATGATAAAATGTTGGCAAGCATATTGGTTAAAATGATGTCCCCAAAAAATTGCTAAACGATCCTTCTAAGAGAACCATTTAAGTTGGGATATTACAATCCCTATCAACCCCCAATCCCAACGAAATGGCCGTTTAGGTACCCTCTGGTAAACGAACGGTTTACTATGGAAAGATCCACCATTTTCTAGCTGGGTAAATCCACTATAAAATACTATTTCTATGGGCCATCATTTTCCATAGCTTTTTGTATGTTTACCAGGCCGGCTAAGGATCAGGACCAGTTGGATATATATATCCCTAAAGAAATGGCAACGCCCAGGCCATTGACCATGGCGCCTGGCTGGATCTACCAGATGAGGAGCGATGATGGGAATGGATGGGATGGCTAGATGGCGGCTAGTAGCGAGGGAGGGGAAAAACAATGGTGATGATATGCCAAAAAGACACATGTAAATATGGTGATATATGGTATCAATATGGGGTATCAATGGTGATATATGGTGAAATATGGGTTGGACGACTTTCCATAGGTTTCTTTTTTGGTGGGTTTTGATGCTCTGACTCATTCCCAAAAAGGTGCTGAACAGTTTCAAACCTTGATTTTTTTTGCTGGGAAAAAAAAGCTCCCCAAAGACTTTTCCGCATCTAAAGTTTGGGGAGCCCTGCAATATGCCAAAGAACCAACCAGCTATAGCTGCTTGGTGGTTTTCACAGAAGATCTTCGCATATCTTCGCTGCTTGGGATGCCCTCATGGGGGATCCCCAGGTGGTCACCGGTTTCCATTTCGATGGGTTTTTGGGATGGGAGCTCTGGCCCCAACTTGGCCGGCTGCCTCTTGGACGAAGTAGACAACTTTACCTCTGTTCCATGAGGATCTTCGAGTTCGGTGTGGAACATGAGTTTCTGATGTCTTCATCCCATTTCTTCTACATTTTTCAAGTGGTGAGATGCTGTGCGACTTTTTTCAGTCGATCGCCACAGCCAAATTCACTTACAGGCCTACAAGTTGGATCCATCAAGCGTCGGTAAATCCATGTTTTGCCCAGTCACGCCGGTCACGTGGTCCTGTGAATCTTGGATAATTCCCCTCTGTTGGGGGAGATTGAGTGTAAAAACAATCCCAATTGATGTTTTCTTCGAAATCCAAGAGTTTCAAATAATATGTTTTTTTTTTCAATTTGTTTGGGTCCATGTGTAAATCCTGAGTTCTTTCATATTTTTTGGCTTTAAGACTTTTGTCTAGTTGGTGGTTTGGAACATTTGTATGACTTTCCATATATTGGGAATGTCATCATCCCAACTGACGAAGTCCATCATTTTTCAGAGGGCTGGCCCAACCACCAACCAGTTGTAGTATCCCAAAAAGTTGGTCCAGCAGCATCCCGATCCGATCAGATCGAGATCGATAGAATCCGAGAGAACATGATTTTCCGCAGCATGATTTTCTGCAGTATTTTTCTACAGATACAAACAAACAAATAAATAAATAAATACATATAATTAAATATATATATATATATCATAGATAACCATAATCAAATCATCATGGATAACCATAGATACCCTCCAGTAAATTAACAGTTTGACCCTGCCAGATAGGTCATTTTCAGGGTCTATGTTAAATTACCAGAGGATAACCACAATTTTTTATAGATTCATATAGAACTGGATTATGGGAAAATTTATAGGAAAGCTCTATGTTTGATGGTAAAAACCATGGTTTCCTGTAGATTTCCTTTAACCCAATCCAGTGATACAAGGTGGTGCCCCCACAGTTATAAGTTGGTTTATAAACCCCATGAATACTATAGATATATCTACCATAAACCATAGTGAAATTGGAGTTATAAACCAACTTAGCTAACTATGGGGCACCACCTTGTAGATAGATACGCTATATCGATTGGGCCTTGCGCAGCTTGCGCAGTCGCAGCGCACGGCCCTGGCCTGGGCTTCGGGCCACGGCAATGCGCACGCGGTGCGGGAGCTGTTGCAGGCGCAACGGTGGTCAAACGGCGGAGGGTGGTAAAACGGGGGGAAAATTCAAGGTCAGAAGATGCCAAAATCATCAAAATATGGGTTTTAAATTCAAGGTCAGAAGATGCCAAAATCATCAAAATATGGGTTTTATACATGACATATGGAATTTCCCCTTATTTTGTTTTTTGGCTATGAAGGATGGAATTTAGCTCTCAAGTTTTTTGAAATAAACCCATCAAAGATGGAATTCAACTGTCAAATATGGAATTGAAATCATTCAAAGATGGATTTTGTCCATAGGCAATATTTCCATACGGGACTTTCAATATTCAATAGGTTGTCTAGGTCTAGGTTGGGTTATGAGGAAATTTCAGTATCATGGATTTAACCATTAAACCGGTTGGTCATAGCATTTGGTTGGCGGTTTCGTGGGTTTTGATTAAAACGCCGCTTGGGATCCAAATTTACACATGGTGCTGGGATTTTCAATGATATCTCCTGAGCGGGGTGTTTTTTTTGGCCATTTCCCTATTCCACTCAATGATCTCCAGGATGGATGCAACCGCCAAAAAGATAGAACAATTTTGCCAGAATGTCATAGATGATGTGTCCCCATAATTTTCAGGGTTTCAACTTCGCCAGCCTGTATCTATCTGAAGATTCTGAAATATATCAAAAAGCATCCAAAAGACAAGACAGTCATGTGACTGTCATTTTTTTTTGTTTTTTCCCCCTCAACTTGTCTTGAATTTTCGAACTCCTTGGGGATTTGGTAAAAAAAATTGCGTTGGAAGACTGCCAAATCCTCCTCCTGCCAGTCGGATGGGAGCTGGTTCCTTCCATGATCACAGTACCCCTCAATTGTGTGAATAGGTCTTCCCTAATCAATGCTCCATCTTGATTGCTACCGACTTAATCACTCAGCGACAACTTGCAGAAAAGTGGATTGCTGGCCCCAAAATGCACGTGACAGGCCCATTTAAGGGCATTTATCTACTGTTTTTTTGTTTGGTCTATCCAGAATTTTTGTTGGGTCAGCTTGCGTTGGCAGCCGTTGCCCCGGACTTTTTTTTTGGAGTCTTGCAATCCCCAGTCGGACAGATGTCCACATCTTGGCAACTTACAACTTATCCTATCTATACTTTTTGGACAGTATACATCCATATTTGTAAGGATCGTAAATTGGCACATAGAATGACTCGTTATACCATCATTTTCCATGATTTTGTTAGCAAGTTAGCCTCTGGTGTATAATTTAGCGCTATTGAAAATTGCACAATTTAGTTCGTGAGTTTTCCCATTAAACATGGTGATTTTCCATAGCAAACTGTTAGTTTACCACCTTACAGCATGTCACCCGGCCATGGATTTTTCCATGTGGATCATTGAGCAGCATAGACTTCACGCAGATATAAAGTACTTGAGGAAAACACACACGCAGAGATATATAGATAGATAGATAGATAGATAGATGGATGGATGGATGGATGGATGGATTGATAGATAGATCGATAGATCGATCGATAGATAGATAGATAGATCGATAGATAGATAGATAGGTAGGTAGACAGACAGACAGACAGATAGATAGATATACCCTTTGGCAATCAAACATACCATGGCTTGCTGGAACATCCCCGATTTGTATGACATGATTTTCCCACAAATAGATGCCAATTTATTTAGCCCAGGGATTTCAATCTGCCCCAGCTTGCCATGGCAATGATCACTGAAGGGTACATGTATAGATAGATTAGACACTCATCTTGTCCTTCCCCCTGGTTGATTGACAGAGGGGACAACAATCCCTGTCCAAAAAACAATCGAACAACCAATAGGTAGATCTCCAAAAAAACATTAACAGCCAACCAATAGGCACTATAAATGATGATCAATGGATGATCCATGATAATCCATGATAATCAATCATCATCAATGACAACTTATGATACATTGTATAGGTAAAAGATGATCAACATTCCTATAATCATATGGGGGTTTCCATACATGGGGATAGCTGGATGTGTTTTTTGCTATCCCCATGTCATGGATGACTCCAATGACCATGACTTTAAAACCACATATGAATTAATTGGACAATCCATTAAAGAAATATTGTTCGGAAGAAGACCTTTCTAGATACACATTTTCTAGATATATCAGATTATACCATCAAAATCCATAAAAATCTATTTCAGATTATACCTAATCAAAATCCCATCAGAATCCACAAAAACAGGATACCTTCTTGGCAAACTGTCACATAACTATGGAAAGATCCACCATTTTCAATGGGAAAATCCACTATTTCTATGGTGATTTTGAATAGCTATTTTGACATTACCAGAGGATAACTTTGGATCGCCATTGGAACAGCCATCCATGGGAAAACTTTCTCCCATAAGGCCGGCGCCTCGGTGGACCTGCGCGACACCTGCGGCTGGACGCCTTTGGCCTGGGCCGTCCGGCGGCCCTGGCGAGGCCCTGGCGAGGCCATGGCTACCTTAAAAGCTATGGAAAACCATAGGAAAACCATAGGAAAACCATAGGAAAATGGAGGTTTAATTGGGATTTAATGGAGGTTTAATGGGATTTAATGGAGGTTCAATGGTGATTTAATGGTGATTTAATGGTGATTTAATGGGATTTAATGGTGATTTAATGGGATATATGATGGTTTACCCTCTGGTAAATCAACAATTTCTATGGAAATATCCACCATGGCTACCATAGAAATAGTGGATTTACCCAGCTAGAAAATAGTGTGAGTTTAACCATTACCCGGCCTGGTAAACGTTTACAGTTTGCGAACTGGAAAATGGTCATAGAAACTTCGTGAGTTTTCTTCCATGAAAAATGGTGGATCTTTCCAGCCAGTTCGCAAACTGTAAACGTTTACCAGAGGGTAGCAAACATGGTGAAAAAGGCTGGTTTATGCTATGAAAAACCAACATAACTTTCTAACATGAACTATATGGACAGCCGCCATTGTTGATGGGTAAATCAACGAACTAAATGACAATTTTCAAGAGCTATGTTAGTGGCTTTTAGCCAGCAAAAAATGGTGAAAACAATGGTGGTTGGTTGAGTGATGCTCAGCTTTTTATCTCCGAACTAGTGTTTTTTTTCCCCACCTGCCAGGTGAGGGTTGTTAGATTTTATGTCAGTTGCCTCCTCCTCCTCCTTCTCCTTCTCCTCCTCCTTCTCCTCCTCCTCCGCCTCCTCCTGCCTCGTCCTCCTCTCCTCCTCCTCCTCGTCCTCCTCGTCGTCCTCGTCGTCCTCGTCGTCCTTGCTCAACTGCGACCCGCGATCCACAATGTTCTCTGCCGGACCTCAACCACGACCATCCACGCCCAGTGTTCCCTGCCGGACCTCAACCACGACCATCCACGCCCAGTGTTCCCTGCCGGACCTCAACCACGACCATCCGCGCCCATTGTTCCCTGCCGGACCTCAACCACGACCATCCTCGCCCAGTGTTCCCTGCCGGACCTCAACCACGACCATCCACGCCCAGTGTTCCCTGCCGGACCTCAACCGCGAGTATCCACGCCAAGTGTTCCCTGCCGGACCTCATGTAGGAAGATATGGGACAAAGAATGTGCAGAAGAAAGTTAGAAAGAATGTCAGAAAGAATGATAGATGCCAGAAGAATAAAGATGCCAGAAAGATATGCCAGAAGATAATGCCAGATAGAATGCCAGATATATATGCCAGAAGATATGCCAGATAGAATGCCAGATAGAATGCCAGAAGATAAGCCAGATAGAATCCAGAAGAATATGCCAGAAGATATGCCAGATAGATATGCCAGAAGATATGCCAGAAGATATGCCAGAAATGCCAGAAGATTGCAGATAGAATGCCAGAAATGCCAAAGATATATGTCAGAATATAATGCCAAAAGATATGCCAGATAGAATGCCAGGATAGAATGCCAGAAGATATGTCAGCCAGATGAATCCGATAGATGCCAGAAGATATTCAGATAGAATGCCAGAAGATATGCCAGATAGAATGCATCAGATTTGCCAGATAGAATGCCAGAAGATATGTCAGATAGAATGCCAGAAGATATGCCAGATAGAATGCCAGAAGATTTGCCAGATAGAATGCCACAAGAAAATGCCAGAAGATATGCCAGATAGAATGCCAGAAGATATGTCAGATAGAATGCCAGAAGATTTGCCATTAAGAAAATCTATAAATGTCATGGTGGGGATCACACGAAGTAAAGTATTTTTTTTTGTCACTGTGATTGGAAAAAATGCCGGGCACCAGAAAAGATGGTGATTTTTCAGCAATGAATACCCTCTGGTAATTTAACATAGCTATTGAAAATGGCCATTAATAGTGGATTTTCCCATTAAAAATGGTGATTTTCCATAGCTATGTTAGTTTACCAGAGGGTAGTGCATAACATCCAATGATTGTCACATGTCATGGATTCCTGGCGAGATTCCGGCGAGAGTCCTGGATGATTTCATCAGCACTTTTTACGGAGTGAACGGAGTTACCCGGCCTGGTGATGACGAACGGTTAGCCAACTGGGAAGATCCACCATGCGATTAATAGGTAAACTTTATGTAACTAAATGGGCCATGGCTTAACCATGGCGAAATTGTTAGTCATAACCAGAGGGTATCATCCCATTAGATCCCATTAAACCACCATTTTATGGAAGTTGGTGTATCACTCTGATGGCTTAAAAAAGGTAGTTCTTGGCTTTATGGAGATCATGGAGTTTTCGAGTTATCGGAGCCAAGAATGTCTTCGCTGCAATTTTCTGGGTCGATTGGGGAGGAAAAAAAACAGCACCGCACATGTTCGATCCGCACCAAAAAGTGCTGGGTGGTTTTATTTTTGGATCTTCTCAGCCCATGATCATTCGATTTTTTAAGTACTCTGGGGTTCGTTCAGACCAGGATGACAGCAACATGTTCAAGTCCTCATTGGTGGTTTTGGCTGCTCCCAGCCATATGGAGGTTTCCATATGGAGGGATCCCCAAATCATCCAAGTCATTAGACCATTGTAGTATTGAAACCTATGGTGACTTGGGGATCCTTCATTATAAGAATTCCATATAGCTGCATTAAATGGTGCCATATGTCTATATATAGATATAAATATAGATCCCCGCGGAGCGTGGAGGATCTCAGCTTTTTTGTGGCATGATTTTGGCACCTTTAAACATCGTGAAGTCTTGGAGTTTTTTGAAGCCTTGAAGCCAACATGGGAGAAGTACTAGACTTTGAATATGTCATGCATGTAACACATTGTAAGCCACAACCTTCATGGTATCACCATGTCTCACCGTTTCATCCTCGTTTCATCCTCTATTGCATCTCCCAGGCTTCCACCATTGGAGTCATGATCCCCGTTTCACCCCAAACTTCTCTAGCTGCTTCTGGTAGCTGATCATGCTTCGCTTCCGGCTGCAGTCCCATGGCGCACTTGTGCTTGTGGCAGGTGCTTTCGGGGAGCACACTGCTTGCTTTCCAGATGACATCATACAGCAGGTGCTGCCATGCTTCAACTTTCAGGCTGAGGATAACATCAATAAATATTACATCGACACTCTGGAGCTGTGTCAAATTTCCAGTTCGGCCCCAGACAGCCGAAGCCATTTGCTTAGCACCCAGGGCCATCCGTGGTCGCAGCTGCCTGGCTGTGTGCCCGAAATGGCGTGCAGCTGCGTGGGAGCGTACCTGCTGAAGGCGAGCCACGTCGGGAAATACCTGGCGGACCTGAAGACGTCGCTGGTCACGGACGTTCCCCGGTTGCGGAACGCTACCCGGATGGCGGCCCGATGGCAACTGCCGTTGCGGCGAGGGAGAGGGGTGACGGTCTGGGAGGCTCAAGAGATGTTCTGGAGAAAGTTTGCTGGATTCAGGCAGGGGGATTTACGTCCCATGACAGGGGTATTGAATTTTAATTAGTATGGATGTGAATGATGGAACAAAGACTGTAGACCCTAGGAAGAGCAGATTCCTGTTCGAATTTGGCAGTTCCTCCGTTCTTGGGTGAGCTAAGTGTGGTCCATACCTGTGGTGATGACCAGCAAATCGGGTGAGAAAACGAAATTAGGGATGTCAAACAACTATTGAAGCCACGTGCGAGTGTGCCAGATTGGGGACAGGACTACCCCTGGCAGGTATTCGCTTCACAAGACTGGCAGCCTGGCTGTGGTGTTGGCAGACAGCAGCGAACCAACGGCTGATACTCGGTTGTGAAGTGTTTCCTTTGTATCTGGGCGCCGGGCAATTCTTTGATGAAGAAATTAGCTGAATTCCACCCTGCCTAACGTCGTGCTTCAGGAATTTCAGGGGGAAAGATCTTGACTTAATGTGGGCAACCCAATGCCATAAACTTACCATGACTGGGGATGGTTGAAATCCCACCCATTTATATCCATAAAAATGATGATGACTTCGGGATGGTGACTATGACATTTCGGCTGAATCCCACATTGGTTGCCAAGCGGGTAGGATGGCATTGCCACTTTGGGCAGTGAGATCTTGGGGAACTTCAAACTCACCAAGCAACACAGCACCTATCAGCTCCAAGTGCGACATGGTAACAGCTGTGCTTGGACTGGTCGATTTTTGTCAAGCCCGGAGTTTCTGTGGTAGTTTCTGGTGATATAAGATTTTGTGGGGTTTTATGGGATTTCAATGGATTTCATGGGGGTCTCATGGAGTTTCATGGGTGTTTTATGGGATGTCATGGGAGTGTCATGGGGGTTTTATGGGATTTCATGGGGGTGTCATGGGGGTTTTATGGGTGCTTTATAGGATTTCATGGGGATGTCATGGGATTTTGTGGGATATACTTGATATACTGTACCCTCTGGCTATTACCAACAGTTTGCGAACTGGAAGCCATGGACCTTTTAGTTCGATGATAAAAATGATGATTTACCTATGGTGGTAATCTTCCAGTTCCCTCATTCAGAAGTGAAATCTCTGGGCTGTTGATCATTTGTGTTTTTTTTTGCTCACCCGCTCAGATCGAAAAAAACATGGGGTTGACATTACACCGTCTTGATCAAGGAAGAAATTATATACATGTTTTTTCCTCAATTTGAATATATGTCAATATATTTATAGCATTTTATAACATTTCAATATCAATTCATTATCACTTTATATAGCATATATATATATATATACATATGTTAATATAGTATTTCAATATCAAGAGTCTATATTTCCATTTTAACAATCCAATCCCTCCAGGTGCCCTGGAGCTCTTCCACGGCACCTGCGACCATCCGCACTTCGGTGTCTTCGAAGCCTTCCCGCCGGTGCAGGGTCCGGCGGAGGAGGGCACCCTGATGGATTTCCTGGGGCTCAGCAGCTCGGTGTCGGCCCACTGTGAGGAGATCCGAAACGGGGGCCATCGGGGGCCGTGGAAAAGGGGATTTTTCAAGGGCCACGGCCAGGGATGGAGGATTTTTGGGTCGTTGAAAGCTGTTGAAAGCTGAAAAAACCATCCAACTATGAGTCTTGACCGGTGAAAATGAGGATATAATTGATGGATTTGATGGTCCATGAGGGCGAATTTATGGTTCATCAGAGTTCATCAGTCATTGTAGGGAGTGATACCAATATATTCGGGGATTGTCACAGTCAGCTTGGGATTGGTGCATCCCACCAGTGGTCATGAGCCATGGTGGGGGTGCAACTACAAGGTGGGCCCCCTAGGTGAAACTTAAGTTGATGGCAATTATATCCATGGTCTATGGTGGAATAGAAAGAGAGATTTTCATCCATTTTCCATAGCTACCTGGACCCCCAAAGAATCAGAAATAAATGGTGCTTTCCTCAAACAACAATTTGTTATGTAGGGATTCTTCACTACAATAGAGAGCCAACCATGTATTTCTGGTTGTTTGGTATGTTGGTTTAGTGGAGGGTATCTATGATTACTATAGGTAGGTTACAGTACATATGATTTACCTATGATTTATCTAGGGTTATTAACTATCTATGATGATGACTCGGTTTACTGGAGGGTTGTTGGTCATAACCAGAAGGTATATCCTACAAAATCACATATATTCACCATAAAATCTGACAAAATCCCCAGAAGTTTCCATAATCCCATAAAAAAACACACATAAAACTCCAGAAAATCCCATGACACCCCCAGAAAATACCATGACCAATCACCATAAACTCCTATAAACCCCCATTAGAATCCCAGAGTAACCAGAGGTTAAACCACCAAAGAACCCATGGCACAGCGCCAGGAGACTCACCTGGCCTTATGGCCCCCGGGTCGGTCCTTTGATTGTGCGGCTGGGCCGAAGTGAGAGCTATGGATCAATCACTTCTTTTTTTGGTTGAGTGATCCATATATGGAAAATTTGTTAATCACCAAGATTTCTATTGTATAGTGATTGATCCAAGATATATTGGTGAGAGCTATGCTTATTTAAATATATGGACAATCACCAATATTGTCACTGGATTAATCAATCACCAACATTTCTATTGTGATCATATATGGATGTTTATCTAGCGTATAGCATTTCCATTGTATAGGGATCATATATGGATTATATGCTGGATATTTAAAATCCTACCAACGTATACTAAGATAGAGATAGGTATGGACATTCAAGATTTTAAAAAAAAACGTGAGATTCTATGCTAGCATCTGCTAACATAGAGATAGGTACAGACAAATCACTATCACTATACACTATACCGACTATACCTACTTTTTTAGGGGGGCTTATCTCTAAACGTGAAATCGCTATCACTACTAAAATGTTCGGCATTTTATTGAGGTGTAATTACAGGATATGGGATTTGACGAGCAAGAACGAGGGGATGTTACATGAATTGATTGACAGAAAAGGAGGATAAACACATACAAAAGCCAACCGCATTGGATTTTACACATGTGAACACGCAAAGATGACTGCGAAAGGGATGGTTTCATATGAAACACGGATCATTTTTTTAGTTTTGTTTTCTTTTCCCTACCCCACCAACTTTGAATCAAACCGATATACTTGGAGAATTTTTTTTTGGTGCGACCCCCACGAATTCGGGTTGATAGAAACGGGAAACGCATGTTGTTCCACACAAAAGTCATGATTTTCAAATTTTCCCCAGGATTTTCCCACGATTTTTCCATGGTTTTTCCATATCTGCCATGGTTTCCCCATGGGTTTCGTGGGGTAAAAACCAGGCCTGGGAGCGTCAGCAGCTGCCAGTGCCTCGGACGTGGCCCGTGCTGGACGAGGAATACCTGGAATGGGCCGACGTCCTCAAAAGCGCCTTGGAGGCCGCGGAGCATGGGCGGCCCCTGCGCGTGGCGCCTGGGATCCTGCAGATCCGGATGGGTTGGGGTTGGGGTGGTTGGGGGGATCTGAAGGTTGAAAGGTTGGGGAAAAAGGCTGGAAAAAGGCTGGCTTAAGCCCGGCTTATGCAGCATGACACATGGGTGAACTGGGGATTTCAGCAAACATGGGGGAAACAGAGGGGTTGAAGCTACGAAAGATGGTGATTTCATGGTGCTTGAAGCATGAAACCTAGAATTTAGGCAAAAATGATGGAACAATGCAGGCTTTAAGATAGCTTAAAGCAGCAAACAATGGTGAAATACTGGTGGTTTAGCAGGGAAAATTATAGCGATGTACGGCATTCATGGTGCAAACAACAAAGGGATTCATGATTCATGATGACGAATCCTGTTAGTGGTTAATAGCCAGGGTTAAACCATTTATGGAATTTTATAGATGGGATAAGCCACTTTATTAGGTGACTTGCCATCACATGGCTTCTTCACAAAAACGATTGATCGATTCACTGACCAGTTTGGCGAGAGGATTGACAGTAGAATCAGCGAACAGGATTAGTTGACGGTGACATTGGCAAAGCCATGGATTTAAGCGGCAAATAAGGGGAATGTACCATCCTCTCAACAAACATTCGAAGACAACCAATTTTAGATGAAAGAAATCTGCCAACCCCCTATTTGGACGATGTTAATTGAAGGAAGGGTAACTGGAATCCTAAGACAATGACAAAGAAAATCCCCGATTGGGTTTATCTAAATGACACCCAAGTGGTTGATGATTACTGACTGGTTGGTGGTTTGGAGCATTGCTTTTATTTTTCCATTTCATAAATGGGAAAATTATTCCCATTGACTGTCATATTTTTCAGAAGGGTTGAAACCACCAACCAGATTAGGATTGTTATCGGGTTTACCTGCGGGGTCGGGTAGAACAGAATTGCGGCCTACGGTTGGAGGAGATGAGTTTTATCGGAGCACAGCAAGTGACCAGCTTCGAACTTGGGTATCTGAAATCTAGCATGATCACGGAATAGTATGGGTAACTCATGGTCAACTGAAGAGAATGGTATATAGTCAACATTAGTTAGCAAAAAGGCCTGGATTCGAATTCACAGAAACAGGCCCCTTGAATAGCTTGGGGCTTCTTAGGAGTAAGCAATCCCATTGGTGCCCAATGCTTGGACTATCTTGGACTCGCTTCGGAAAGCTCCATGCCTGCCATGGCAACACCGGTCCATGAATACTCTGTATATCATCCCACTATCCCAAAAGCAAGTTGCAGTGCCATCCATATAAACCCCAAACCTACCATGAAACCTCCATTTTTCACTTATCCAAATATATCCAAATGATCATCCCGCCCTTACCATCCTTTTCGATGCTTGGATCACCTGGAAACTCCGTCCCAGGCCGACATTGGCGCGGGGTCCTATGGCATCTGGGCCTCCCGCGCCGCCAAGGCCTTCGTACGCCGCGCCGATCCGGCACTGGGCTGCCAGCTGCTTCTGGTGGAGCCCTTCGTGCTGGGGGACCAACGGCTGTTGCAGCAGCACCTGGCGCGGAACTTCCAGGACCACAACAATGGCTGGTTGGTGGTTTCAAACATTTTTTTGATTTTCCATTTCATATATTATATTGGATGTCATCCTTCCCATTGACGAACTCCATCATTTTTCAAGATGGTTATTGCACCACCAACCTGATGGTGATTTTGTCAGGGCTTTTCCGGATGTTTTTCCCACGAAAAATGGAGATGGACATAGGACATCCACTGACCCGAGTCCACCAAGAGGAGAATCGCTGTGAATTCACGGTGGAAACGAGGCAACTCAAGACGTCTGCAGAGTTGAAGGCCTGCCTCTTCAACTCACTGGACGAGGGTGCTGGGAGGTAAAAAAATGGTAAGAATAAACTAAATAAAGCTAACAAAAAACTAGACAATAACACTCAAGCATGTTGAATGAAAGCTCTTGGAGGGAGCGCCCCTTCGGCGGCCCAAAAGTGGATTTTTTTTTAGCATTTTTAAACTGTTGTTTGTTTTTTCTAGCATTTTTTTATTTTTTTCCAGTTTTGTCTAGTTTCGAGTTTTTTTTTTTTAAAGCTTTTGTTAGCATTATCCATTTTTTTGATTTTTTTGTAGTTTTTTCTAGTTTCTTTCAGTTGTTCTGAGCTTTCTTTGGTTTTCAAGTTTTTGTAGCTTTAAATATGTTCCCCAAATTCTAATATTCCTTCAGCATTCCCTGTTTCTTCTGTAGGTTTTGAATGGATTGTATGGAGTGCCAGTGGTGAGATCTCCAAAAAAAGGAACCAGATATCACGCAGAATAGGATTGGTTTTTTCTAGCATTTTGTAGTTTTTGCTTGGATTCCTTCAGCTCCTTGTCGGATTCCCGCTCCAAATTTTTTGAAGCGACACCTCTTGAAGAGGCACGCCATATGATCCTATGACAAATTCCCAGCTTTACACCTCCATTTAGTGCGGGGATTTTCCAGGTAGCCACGTTTGATTTTTTAGAAACGCTTGAAGGCAATAGGAAGTGCTGTTTCCAGACAAACCCAGTCTGATATGCTGCGAAACTTTCTTGCTAAATCCATTGGCGACGGGTCAATACAGGATTCTCAAATGGGAAACCTATCAAACATGGGATATCACCGTCTTATCTTATCCCATCTTATTATTCATCTCTTATCCCATTTATACATGGCCTATAGCCTATAGCTCACCTCCCAGCCAGCCAGGCCTTACTGGCTCCGGGTGATCGGTGGGATCTTCTGGACATCGACGCGCAGGGCATGGAGCGCCCGTTTCTGCACGGCATCGTCGGCTGGCTGCGGCACAAAGTGCGGAGGCTACACGTCTCCACCCACGACCGGGCCATACATTGGGAGATCCTGCAGTGGTTGAAGGAGATGGGTATGTCTGAAAATGGGGTATACCCCCAATTATAGCCATTTAGATGCCATTTAGTAGGGATGATGATCATTCCCATTGGGTGTAGGGGTACACTATTTTCAGACAAACCCAGATGGGGAAAAGCCAAGTTGGGGTGAATTTCATTCGGAGAATCATGGGATCAATATAGGATACCCTCTGGTTATGTCAAAATAGCTATTGGAAATGACCATTTCCAGTTGAAATACCTATTAAAAATGGTGATGTTCCATAGTTATGTTAATTTACCAGAGGGTAATAGGATCTTCACAATAGGATGAACCGAAAACCTTAGGTGAAGAATTGAGAGAGAATGGGATAATCATAGGATATGAATGGAATAATGTCCTCCGGTGTCATTGCAGCTGGGAAATCCTCCGCACTCAATGGAGGTTTCGTTCGTTGGGAAAACCCCCTTGAACTAATGGATTAACCAGCAAAACATGGAACTGATTACCGGAGGGTAATGGTGATAGCTTGGATTCATATTGGTTAATCATGTCAATCATCTTGGAGTTGGGTAAACAATGGCCTGCTTTTTTTGAATCAGTGGTGAGACATGATGAAAGAAGGTGTTTTAACCAGCAGTAATGGAGATTCAACCAATGATTATAATCCCATCCCTCTAGCAGTAAATACCCCCAATAGGGGACGCCACTTCACGAATAGATTAGAATATTAATATAATGCTTAGATCCAACACCAAACCGGGCTTTCCAAGGCTATTTCATAGGAATGGATGACCACTTGGATAGCGGGATCCAACACCCTGCAGGACGCCGGATGGCATGTGCCGGTGCATTTTCCCACCTATTCGCTGGTGGGGTTGAAAAGCATCGGCCATGGCTCCTTTCTGAATGTGGACGGTCACATCACAGCAGTGCCTCAGACGTTTGCCTGGTCCTAGTCCCTTTTTCGCTGCGGTGCCGCGAGCGAAAACATGGCTGAAAAACGCGAAGACAGGGGGAGACTGACTGGAGCTCCATTGTTTTCTTTGGAACAACTGTGGGAATGAACGGCGAACTTCTCAAATTTCTAGGGGGTTGACTTATTTGGGAATGGGCAACCCTGCCAGCCTGGAGTGCCAGAGAGTATACCAAGTTTGTGTTTCAGTGCGTGAAGGCGTGAAGGCGCGAAAGAGAATTGCAGATGATCTGAGAGAACGCAGGGCAACATAGGAAAAAACTATATGAAATAAACTAAGACACACTAAGAAAAAAACCCAAGAGCAACTTGACAAAAAATAAGGAACCACAAAAAAAGAACCAGTAAAAGTAGCAAACAAATCAGACATGTTCCTGAGTGATCGTGTAGATCGACACCCCGTTCAGAATACCTCAAATGAAGACCGTATGAGAAACACATCAAGCAGGCAAACCAACAAATATCAGGATATTTTAGGATTTCTTTCGGCAAGTTGGGGTGGTTTAGTTGTCGTTTGTTTTCAAACAACAAGTTAAAGACTGCAACCAAATCGAAGGTCTGAAAGAGTGTGTAAGATAGAACAAATCCATACAAATCCCACGATGGGCAGGTTAGAGACGACTGTTCCTTTTTGGCGCCAGAACCCCCAACCTATGTCAATCGTTCGATTCTTGTTTCTCCAAATTTTGTTGTGTCATGGGATATGATCAATGGTGACCCCCACTTATAATGTGTTCGTTTATAAATCCCATTAGCATCATTGGATTGGTTTCAGGGAAATTTTACAGGACAGCCCCATGATCTTAATGGTAAAACCATGGTGTCCGGGGTTCTGATTTTCCCAACAAAACCAATCCAATGATAGTAGATATCCCATAAAGTCGTAAAGCCTCGTCATGTTACAGAACAACTTAGCTGCCTTAGCTAACACCACCTTGTTTGGGATAGAACGACTGCAACGACTGCAGGGTGAACCCGGACTCAAGGGGATTGAATCTGGGAAAAAGCCCCATATAACAAACGCCCCCGTTTTTTTACCATGGCTGGGAAAAATCATCAAATGGTACTTGTTTATGGCGGTTTGCCGCACTATTAGATATAGTCCTATAGTGATTAGTTGCTTGCCCAGATATTTTCGATTGATTCGCACAATTGTTGACCGTTAATCGCTATAAAACCCCATGATACCCACATGTTCAAAAAACCAATCACCCCCTTGAAATTCCATGAAATCCCAAGAAAATCCCTTGAGGTACCATTAAATCATTAAATCCCGAAAACATCCCGTCAAATCGCTTTAACACCTATGAAATTCCTTAAATCCCATTAAATACCATGACAAAATCCCATCTGGTTGGTGGTTTGGAACACGAATTTTATTTTTCCATTCAGTTGGGAATGTCATCATCCCAACTGACTTTCACTCCATCATTTTTCAGAGGGGTAGCGAAAAACCACCAACGAGTTTATAGATTTTACAGGGATTGTCTAGTAATTTCTTGGAGCAACACATGGGTTTTAAGATGTTTTAAGCCATTGAAACATCATAGACATTCCATAAAAATCCCAATAAATCACCATTAACATTCCATTAAATCACCATTAAATCACCATTAAATCACCATTAAATCACCATTAAATCACCATTAAATCACCATTAAACCACCCAAACTCCCCCGGCAGCTGGCCTTCCTTGGCCGCGCCAAGGCGCACAAGAACTGGCCCAAGGTGGCCTCGATCCTTCAGCACCACAAGGCGGACCTGCATGCGCGGACCTTCACAGGCGGGGTTTCCCCACCAGGCCCTGGGTATTTCGGACTGGGTTTCTAGGTATTTTTTATATGGGTTTCTAGGTATTTTTATATGGGTTTCTAGGTATTTTTTATATGGGTTTCTAGGTATTTTTTTATATGGGTCTATAAGGGATATATTTTATATAACTATAGATTATAACTACTATAGATTCATACTATATAACTAGGGATATAACTATAGATTATAACTATAGTTAGTGAATGGTGGTATATGGTTAACATTAGTTAGCTATAAATCATGGGGATGTTATATATTGATAAAACCCTATATAGTAGAAATGGGGATGGTTGGCTAGAGCCCAGCCATACAACTGGTAATTGGGGATGGTGAAATTGGGTGAATCCCATTTTTTTTAAATGTATATAGTCCAGGAGGTATATCAGTCCTGCCTATAGGTATATAACAAAGGGTTCATTCGGCTTGTTATGTTGTATGTAAATCTGGAGGTTGATGTGGAGGCTACGGTCTTCCACATTCAAGATTCATAGGAAGCTGATTTATGGATAAGAACAGCACTATGATATATGCATTATCCAAGATTAGCTTGATGTATATAGGGGTATATAAATGGACCTTGGAATCATGATGAGGTACCAACAATATCTGGGACTATACTGGACGTCACCCCCGAATCTGCAAACAATAATGTGATATTGCAATATCATGCCAACACCAGATTAACAAAATAGTGATGAATTATATATTATGGTAATGGGTACCAAGGCATACCAAGGCTATGAAAGTGGAGGTTTACTCCTGGGTGGGCTGATTTCGGATCCCCCAGGTGATACCTTAGCACACCTGGCCGCGAAGAGCTGGGGGTCCCAGTTCCAGCCGAAAGGGCCTTAAAAAATGCGACTGGAACCATGAAGAAATGGGGGTTTTCAGACTGACAGACTGGTAACATTTGGTAACAAAATCCTGGGAGATCATCAATTTTGCACATCAGATTTCACCTCTTTCACCTGAAAAGAAACGTTCCTTCTCAGCCCTGCATTGGAGATCTCCTCAGATATGCTCCGGGGGTCTACTTGGATGAAGGGACCTTTTAAAGGAATGTTTAATGTTTGTATATTATTTTTTGAGTAAGAAATATGGTTTCATTGATGAACCAACGAATCCCCATTGTTGGTAGTAAAACCTGGTTAACCCACCCCTATTTTTATGATTTCACCTTTATTTTTTTGGGTGGTAGTTTGCCACATGACTCCATGGGGTTCTCAGCGAGGTAATCATTGCTTCACCCTGGCACTCCTCAGTTTGGCTGGTGTGGACTTGGACCTACAGGAGAGTGTTTTCGAAAAAAAACTGTTTAGAATTTTGAAAGCCGACACGGTGGAAAGCGCGTTTCGAAGATTTAGAATGATTTATATACATTATCCCATGATTATCCCATTTTATGTGGTGCAATAGGGACAATGGGATAATCATGGGATATTCATAGAGTCACCCTCGGGTTTCATCAAAGATGGCTGGGAAAATGCCAATGAGAGAATCATTTGTACATGGGGGATATTCCAGCAAGCCATGTTTGATGAAATCGGAAGGCAACTAATTGTAATTATTTATTATCTGGTTGGTGGTTTGGAACATTTTTTATTTTTTCATATATTGGGAATAATCATCCCAACTGACTTTCATATTTTTCAGAGGGGTTGAAACCACCAATATATATCTCCCGTATATTTATATATATAATATATATATATACAAAATATCTTTGGTCTCCAAAGATGCATTTCTGAACCATCATCAGCTGGAATCGGCTTGGAGGTGCCTGCTACTGTTTTGTCTAGTTCATTTACAGAAGGGCTTGTCTGAAAACAAGATAATTGGTCCATCATTTTCCCATGAACATATGGCAAAGTTGAGGTATCCCCCATTCTTGGGCAAAGCCAATGGGTTTTGAAGCTGCTTTAGCCCTGGGCCGCAGGACTTTGAAGGTCATAGCCCACTTCAGGCCGCCAGCAAGTAGCCATGGGGCTTGCCACGCGGGGATGTTGGGGGCACGCCATTTCATTACATTTCCTACAAGGTGGTGCCCCCCAGTTATGAGTTGGTTTATAAGCCCATTAACTATAGATATATCACCTATAAACCATAGTTATTGGAGTTATAAACCAACTTAGCTATCTTGGGGGCACCACCTTGTATGGGAATGGAACATGGTTTCAAATGACTGGTTTTGAAAAACCTTCACATATTTCTTGGAGATATTGGCGTGTTGGTATATGTCCCATTTATTCAGTACATAAACAACACAATTAGCTCGTAAGACTTAGTGATTCGGTGATATTCAAATGGAATATGTCCGGGTAAATTGCCAGACGCAAATGTTAGAGTTGGTCACTAGAATCAGATGAAAATGATGAAAAAAGCCCCAAAAGCCATCCAAGAATTCAATTGTTTCTTCCAATTTTTCGGGTAGCACCCTCTGGTAATCAGCTTGGTGACTTGCTGGAAAACCCACCATGTATTTCGAAGATTTTCCCGGCAATGATAACACCAGAGGGTAACTCCAGGGTAACTCCACTCGACTATCCCATTCTTGTATATTCAGGCTACTAGCCCATTCTTATCGCCATTTTTAACCATCTAACACCATTATCATCCCATTGTTATCCAATTCGTATCCATCCATATTCCATCATTATCCAATAAAACCATACGAAACTACCATTAAACCTCCTGAAACCGCCATGGATTTTCCACATGTTCCACGAATTTCTGGCTCCGTGAACGGAGGCCACAGTGATCTCGGGGAAGTTTGTGGCCACCAAGTGCCTCTTGCTGCTGCGCGCCAATCCGGAGCTCAAAGACGAAGGCAACGCACCATCCCCCAGTCATCACCAGATGGGTGGGATTCCAACCATCAAACATGTGCTGGTTATGGCATTGTTTTACCCACAAAATATGGTGATTTCCCATGTGGATTTCTAACAACGATCTTTTTGGAACTCAAAAGTTGTCACTTCCAAAAAGATGAGTGTGAAAATGTGTGAAACCAGGATGGCCTGGCAGTTCAATGATGTTTTCCACATTTTGTTCCCAGGCCTCCAACTTTTTGGCATTTTTTTTGGTTGCTATATATTGAATTCGGCGGCGGTAAGCCTAACGATATAGCAACCAGGAACAACAAGACCGAGCAGTTACCCAACTATCATTTTT